GGAGTGGCCTAAATCTTGTGTGAGTGTGTAAGGAGGGGGAATAGAGATGGGGACAGAAAAAAAATGTGAAGAAACGATGGTTGAAAACTTTAAAAATTCTATAAAAGCTATGAACAAGGTCCAAGAAGCCTGGTGAACCCCAAGGAGAAATCTCTTGTCTTGTCTGCGCCTGGCTCATGGTTGGCACACTGTCCCTGTCTGATAAGTGAAGGGACTCATGGCTGCCTGCATGAGCCCTGCTCTCTTTCCCTTTCTTCTTCTCTTCTTTCTTCCCCTCACCTCTCTGCTTTTCTCTTGCTGTCAGTGCTTCTCATTTACCAGAGTTGTCCGGGACACACATGGTGGCATCTGGGCTGTACATTTGATCTTAAGTCCTGGAATCTGTCTCTGCTCCAGGTTTTGCCGCTGAGAGCCTCAAGCGGTCCAGCCTCTTCCGGGTCTGAGTATACCCAGGGTTTTTGAGATTTAAGCTAAAATATCCTGAGTCCTGCTGGCACAGATTTCCCCGGGGACTCCTGGTTTCTTAGTCTTTCTGCGGGAGGCAGGGTCAGGAGGTGTGCCCAGGATGGACTGGACACTGTGTTCCCAGGTACGTGGCCCAACAGAGCAAGGTTCAGACCCATCATGGCCCACCTCTGCAACTCCTTGCCATGAGAAGCTGGTCCCTTCCTCTCTCTGGGCCACTGTTGTATTTGGATTTGATGAATTCTTAATCCCCTCCAGCTCTGACCTCCTGTCTCCACCCCACTCCCCTTTGACTCTCTTTCTCTTTGATGTGCCTCATCCTTGCTAAATGGGTGTGTGGAGCTTGGAGAGGAAAAGGCAGGAGGCCTCGGACCCTTTGTCCCTGCCAGGCCCCTTTCTTCAGGGATCCCCTGGAGTTTTCAGGTCCAAGTTCAAACTCATTAACTCAGCACAAGGCCTCAATTCTTAGAGCACGGTCTCTGGAATCCTCCCCATTAGAATTGCACCCCCTCCCCCCTCCCCAGCTTGTAATAGTGAAGATTCCCATTAGGAAGGCCTGGGGTGGGTTCCTGGAATCAGCATGTATTCTAAGAACCCTGAGGGATTGACATCAGTGTATTGGTGGTGATGGGGAGTTAGGTCACACTACACAGGGCAATAACCCCAAACAGTAGAAAGGAAGCTGTGTTGAAACTGATCCCCGCCACCACCCAGGTCCCCTCCCTGGAAGCAGATTCCAGAGATACATAAACAAGCACATACATACACAGGCATGTGTTTGAGCACAGGGACAGGTCATGTAATTCTGAGAGCCAAGTAAAGCCAGAGAACAGCTGCACCAGGGTCTCTGGGATGTACTCCCATCACCCCTGTAGCCCTCACCCCCTGCTTGCCCTGCTCCCCACATGGACCCCTGCCATTGAAGGGCTGCTCCTGGCCTGTGCCCTTCCCTCCTGCAGTCCTGCTTGCTGAGAAACGCCCATCCTCCAGTTTTGCTGCCTGTCTCTCAAGATTCAAATGGCTCTTCCTGCAGAGAGCCTTCCAACCCCGTTCTGTGCCCTCACCTCGGGGTTCTCTGGGTTTCTGCATTCCCTGTCACCATACTTATCATGTCGACATGAAGAGACTGCTCACTGAAGGCTCCCTTCTCCATGTGATGAGCTCCTGAGTCACAGTGTGTGTGGCATGTGGATATTCAATAAGAAATGACCGTGTATATCTGGGGAGCAGGCATTTTGTCTGTTTTGCCCTCTGCAGTTTGGAAATCCACATCACGGTGCCCTCAGCCTCCCCAGCCTCTCTCCTTCCTGGTGCTCTGGCAGGGGCTGGTACAAAAAGCTGCAGGTGAGAGGGGGTCTCTCCTGGAGGAGCAGGTAGCCCTCAGCTGCAGAGTCCACAGACTGAGGGATCTCCAGCGGGGGCTTGCACCACTGAGAGGGGAAGAACCCAAGTTTTCCTCTGGGGCTTGCCCTGCTGGTGGCCAGTGGACAGAGCTGGTTTGGTGGAGCATTCCTGCCAGAAGCAATGTGCCAGGCCTGTTCCTCCCCACCCGTGCAGAGGGAGCAGGTGGCCTGGGCTGCAGGGAGGGGGTAGAGAGACCCCACAGAGGGAGGGGCATGGGAGAGGAAATTGAAAAAGCAAAGGGGGTGGAGTGGGGTGTGCGGCTGGCCGGGCAGTTGTTTAACGAGTAAATGTGCTGGGAACGCTAATGAGCTGTGTTCATTCATGGCGGGCTGCCTCCCGAATTGGGGAGCTGGCCAGGTTCTGGGGTGGAGGAACCATGGATGGGAGCCAAGTTGGGGAGCTGCCCGGCCGCTGGGGCAGGGACTCCCGTAATGGGTTGGCGGAGAAGTCTTTGTCCTGGGTCTGAGGGGGCCCTCCTTCCTTCCCTCCCTTCAAAGGAAAGGCCAGCCTTTGCCAGGCTGTGACAACTTGGCTGAGGGCCTGCTTGGGATTCACCGTCCAGACTAATCTGGAAGCTTCTAGGACAGAGGCTGGCTCTCAGGAGCCATAGTCAAGGCCGATTTGCACCCTCCCGCTGACTCTCACACCCCTTAACCCCGGCACTCTGAAGACCCCAGGGCATGTCTCCTGGCTAATCAACACTCTCCCCTTCCCCACATGGGTCCTGGCTTCTAGGGGCCCTCCGAGGTCATGGGGCCGGGGAGGCACTGCTGGAGCAGAAGGTGGGAGACCAGACATCTTCAACAGTGAGAGTGCGGCCTGTGACTGGCCTACTAAGTGCCAGGTACTGGGGTAAGCGCCAGTGAGGAAGTGAGGGGGTGGGGAGAGGTGGGGCCCCACCCTGCAGGGGTGTCATGGAAGGACAGCAAGTGCAAACAGAGCTCCAGCTAGGGTAGGGTCAACAAAGCAGCAGGCACTGGGAATGAGGACTTCAGAGTGCTGCCAGGGGCTGGGCAGGCCTGAGGAGAGCAGTTGTAGTTTGCTAGATGAGGGCAGAGGCAGGTGGGTCCTTAGGTCTAGCCAGACCTACCCCGAGTTACTGAATTGATGCTCCAGAGCCCAAATAACCCAAGATGGAGGCCATGCTCAGGGGAGTGCAAATACTTTCAAAAGAATGCTCAAAAGCCTGAAAAATCAGCCACGTTAGTTGTGACAGACTGGCCACAGTTCTACCTCTGCTATGACAGTAGATACTACAAAAAATTTCATGCAGGTGGAAAAGAAGAACCCTGTGTCTTGGGGTTCATCTTGGGCTCATCTTGTGGAGCCCACAAGTCTCTCACCACCTGGCAGATTGCATCCGTGCCTGACATCTGTGGGACCAGCCCTTTCTTTCTGGGAGACTCCACAGCAGCCCCGGTGGGGGGCAGGAACTTCACGAGTAGCTCCGACACTCCCTCTTGGGAGGCAGGCCATGTGCAGCCTCACACCAGGCCCCACCTGACAGACTGATGGACAGGGTTGGTCCTCCAGAGCCCCAGCAAGGCCCCCTACTGTCCTTGGTTTGGGGAGGTGTTTTGTCTTTTCTCTGGTTGCAGAGAATTCTCCCCACATGGATTTCCCATTCACATCCTTGCCCACATGTTTTAGTCAGCTCTGCACCTCCTCTCCCAGCCGCTGTGACTAAAAGACACAACCAGAACAACTGTCAGGGAGGAGAGGTTTATTTAGGGACTGGTGTTTCCGAGGTCTCAATCCAGAGACAGCTGGCTTTATTTCTCAGGTCTCCAGGTGAGGCAGAACAACACGGTGGAAGAGTATGTGGCAGAGGGAAGGGCTCTCACCCGGATCAGAAAGCAGAGAGGAGATTCCACTCTCCAGAAACAAAATACGTACCCGTAGCCATACCCCCAGTGAACCACTTCCCCCAGCTACACCCCACCTGCCTCCAGTTACCACTCAGTAAATCCCATCAGGGATTTATATTCACTGACTAGGTTAAGACTATAACCCAATCATTTCTCCTCCAAACCTTCCTGCATTGTCTCACACATGAGGTTTTGGGGGACACCTCACATCCAAACCATAACACTACACCTACCTTGGAGTAAGAAACATCCCTGCTCACCGGGGTATAAGGCTTGGGGTCCTGTATAGGTAGCCTGAGTTTCTCTCCCAAGCACAGCTGCGGGGACCTTTTCCAGCCCTCTCTGCTGCCCTTTGATGACAGACTAGGATATTCATTTCCATCTGTTTCCACCTGTCAGAAATGGAGGAGCACTGATATGAGTGGAGGAAGGTGTATGCTGGATTCCCAAGTCCCACTGACACTGTGCTCCCCAATAGGGAAGCCATCAAGCTGGCCTGGGTAGAGAAACAACCCCTGTGCAAATGCCCAGTGCAGGGCTATTCTCTTCCTGCTGTGCTGGCCTCAATTTCCCTGGAGAAGTGGGGTGCTGCCATCTTGGGAAGAAGGTGTATTGGAGAAAAGGAGACTGTATTTGGTCTAGGGCTTTTGTGTGAAGCACCCCCCCATCCCCCACCTCCCACCCGCCCTTTGCCGCCCTGCAGGGCTCAGTCTTCAAGATCTCAAGCTAAGTAAGGCAGGTGGCTTGGGGAAGCCACCTGGGGCCAGGGACTTCCTTTCACCAATAATTGACAAAGTCAGTCTGTGGAGGCCCGGGCCCCTTTAGCCTTGGGGAAAGCAAGTCTGTGGCCTTGGTGTTCAGGAACTAAAAAAGAACCCATTCCTCCTGTGGATCACCATCTGCGGCTAGGGATGCTTGGGTGTCTGCGTCTAAATGTGTGCATCCTTGCTGTGCGTGTGTGTGTGTGTGTGTGTGTGTGTGTGTGAGAGAGAGAGAGAGAGAGAGAGAGAGAGAGAGAGAGAGAGAGAGATGCGCGTGTTCGTGTGCGTAGAGCCCATCGGGCAGGTCGCCCTTGCCCCTCCTCCCGCAGCCCCCTGCCCACTGGCGGCGCCTCGGAGGTTCCACCTTTGAAACTGGACGCTGCCGCAGCCGCTGCCTGAGCGCTGGGGAGGAGGGGGCGGTGGTCGAGGCCGGGGGAGGGCGGGGAGGAGTCTGGCCCTGGTGTGTGCTTTTCGATTGATGGATGACTGCTGGGTGGGAGCGAGCGTGCGGGTGTGAGTGTGTGTGTGTGCGTGTGTGAGTGTGTGTGTGTGCGCGGGGTGCGTGCGCGCGCGGGGCCTGCCCATTTTCTTCCTTCGCAGCAGTCAGTTGGGAGCTGGAGGGAGGGAGAGGGAGACGCAGCGGCGAGAAACCCGAGCGGAGCCGAGCGCCCTCCGCCCCAGGCGCCCTCCCTCGGTCCGCGCCCAGGCGCCGTCGCTGGGAGTAGCGAGGTGCCTCCCAGCCCGCAAGGGCGCAGCGCACCAGCCCGCGGGCTCTTCTGGGCTTTGCGGGGCGCTGCACCTGGAGGCGGCCCCGGACGGGGATGCTCAGCGGCTGCCGCCGTCCGGCAGGCAAGCGGGACGCGCGGTGAGGGCACCATGGCGCTGACGCCCGGGCTGGGGTCCTCGGCGGGGCTGGTCCGGCCCGAGCTCTGGCTGCTGCTGTGGGCTGCCGCGTGGCGCCTGGGTACCACGGCTTGCCCCGCCCTCTGCACCTGCACCGGCACCACGGTGGACTGCCACGGCACGGGGCTGCAGGCCATTCCCAAGAACATCCCACGAAACACCGAGCGCCTGTGAGTATGGCCCCCACCCGCGGTCCGCAGGGAGCCCCGGGGTTGCCCTCCCATCCAGACGCCCCCGAGGGCTGCGGTGGGGGCAGGACTGTGGGCCCGAGCTCCGCAACCAACAGACGGGTCAGTGCCCGCCAGGGTCATTCCCCAGCCAGGAGCCAGGAGCACCGCTGTTTCCCTTTCCCCGGATTCAAAGGGCCCTCGGCGGGGCTGTCAGCCCATCCTCACACCTGCACCCTGTGCTCTGCACAGGCAGGCCCTTCCCACTGCGCCAGCACTTTATTCCTCCAGGGTGCCAGCGATTTGGTGCCAGCAAGCTTTCCTGGCACTCAAGAGGGAAGCTTCCCACACTCGCCAGGCACAATGTCTCCTTCTGGACACCTGGGTTTGGGGCTGTGTTCTGAGCAGTTGTGTGGGTTTGGGTGCTTTGGGCTTCCCGCCTGGTGATGGGCAGTCCGGTGTGGTGGACTTGGAAGTTTCTGATCTCCGGCTTCCTCTCCATTGTTTGCCCCAGAGCCTAGAGAATTCTTCCCGTGCAGGTGTCAGCTCTCCCGCCCCAAGCCATCCCCAACCCAGGCAGACAATGGGACCTGAGGGCTGTGGGTTTGGGGCTTGGTACACGTTAAGATCAACATCCAAAGAAGGGTAGGTGTGTCCCAGACTGGGAGCCCAATGAATAAGATCTAGAGAGCAGGAGCTTGGGGCAGATACACAAGGTTAATGATGTTGACCATGACAAGTCATAAAAAAGGTCATTTTGCTTCCACTTCTGAATTCTTGAGGAAATTGAACCCTTTCTAGACCCGCTGAGCCTTGTAGGGTGTTTTTGCTGTTCTCCTGCAGCATGTGTGTTCCTAGTGTCTGTGAGCACCTCAGTAGTGTAAGGCCATGAGATTCCATGTGCATGGCTGTGTGTGTAGGTTTTTGGTCATAGCCAGGGCCTTTGTACTGCTCGCAGGGGTGACTGCACGGGGAGGTTTTTGATTGAGACTTTGGAGAAGGCTGCTAGCTCCTTTGAAACCTGACAGGTCCTTTCCACACTCCAGGGCGACTGCTGAGGCTCTAAGGAAAGGTGTACATATTTTGATAACTTTTGAGCACATTTTCATGGCTCCCAGGTGCAGACAGCTGACCCTGGGGAGAATTGTCGCCTGGATCAAACTCTACCTAGGCCAGCAATTAATGATCACATTTGCCCCAGACTCTTCTTGCCTGAGTCTGAAACATTCCCGTGGAGGTTTCAGAGAAGTTGCAATCTACATGCAATCTAGATAGGAATCGATGCGTGTGCATGAGTGTGTGTTAGCACGTGTGTTGTGGGGCTGGGGAGAAATGGTGGGGTGGAGAGAAGTGGGACCAAACCCGGTTTTCTTGGGGCAGCCTGTGCATTATCCTGTGTGGACCTGGAGAGGAAATGAGCATCAGACATTATCCAGAGGATCCCTGAAGTCACCTGGTCACTCTCCATGTCTGTTCCCTCTGGACCTACTCCCAGTTCCTCTTGCCTTGTCTCCTGTACCTGTTACCCAGGTAGCAGCCTTGATCTGAGACACATGACCCCCCTCTGTGTGGTAGGATCTTGAATCTTGAAGTCCTCTCCACCTGAAGACTTCTTGAAGTTTTCTTAACACCTTTAGTGTTTAAGATAGAGTGTGTCTTGACTTTCATGAACTCTCTAGTTTTTTTTTCCAATCAGTGAGATGGAACGAAGTGCAATATCCTAGCAAAGAGCAAAGAGTTGGGGCTCTGGGAGTGTCAGTCCCTGGGTTGGAGCCTAACTCTGACAAATATTAGCTGTGTGACCTTGAGCAAGTTACTAAACTTCTCTGACCCTTAGTTGCTTTCTATCAGGAAAATGGGGCCAGATACATGTTGGTCTTTGGTTCTAGTAAGGATGGAAGGTAATGCATGGAAGAGCCTGTATGTTATAACACTCCCTTAAGTGAGATCTGATTATGATAGGACTAGCCTATTATGATAAAATAGGGCAAGAAGCCTCATTATTTTAATTCAGCAAATTTTCACTAAGCCAAAAATTGCCCTGGGTGCTGAGGCTGCAAAAGGAACGAGCCACCTTCCAGAGGCATGTGGTTGAGGATCAAGCAGGGAATTCCTAACTACAGGTGCGTGGGAGAGGGCCAAGCCAGCAGTCTAATGGGGGTACTAAGAACACTGGGGTGAGAAGCCCTTTTTGGGGTACAGGGGCTTCTCAAGGAATGGGCTGTTCCATTAGCCATTGGATTTTGGATTTTGCCAAGCAGAGAGGACATGCAATGGTGGCAGAAGGAACAGCATGAATCAAATCCTCAGGCGTGAGTGTGCCAGGCCTGCTAAGGACAAATGGACCAGCTTGTCCCAGGGGCCGAATCTTGCTGTGTCTAGTGGATGCCAGGGGACTGGAGGCTGGAGAGAGTTTGGGAAAGGGCAGGAAGGCCTTTCTCTATCTGGACTTTTCCTTTGGAGACTTCTAGGTGGAAATCCGGGGGCGAGTTATCTTGAGGGAGGGGGAGAGGTCTGATCTCTGCTCTGCACGCAGAGCCCCTGGGGTTGGAAAGGACATAGAAAGCCGAAGGAGCCTCCTGTTCATCAGGCAGGCCTCGGAAGAGCCATTTGAAGAGGCAGGGAGCATCCTGAACGAGGCCTTGGTGAGGGCCCAGGCGGACTCAGGATAACTAGCAAATGCTCTCTGTGATCAATATGGGCACAGCGCAGCACTGGAGCCCGCCAGAGCGTCTTCCTCTGAGGCTGTGAAATTTTTATGGACTGCAGCTGTGCATTTGCCTTTTGTCCTTTGGGCCGCTTCTGTGGCAGCCTGGGAGATCTGGCAACTTTATGATCCCGTATTCCATAACTTCTCCCCCAGTGAGAAGAAGTTGTCATTGGTTTGCTGCAGGGACTTCTGGGGAGAGGGTGAGCAGGCCCTAGAGCTGCTGAGGAAACCAGTTCAGCCAGGGGGGCTGAGGGCCGAGGGATGGTGGGCAGGGAAAGAACACTAAATACTTCACTGTAGTGGAGCAATCGAAATACAGAGCCGGTGGGAGAGGCGCTGGAGGGGGCCTGGAGGTGTCATCTCTTTGTAGAACCCAGGCTCAGAGGGACCCAGCAGAGCCACTGGTAACTTTTTTTCTTCCATTCAAGGACCTTGGTTTTTCAATTGGATTTAAAAAACAAAAGCAATGATACTAAAATAATAAATCCAAAGGGTACAGACTGGAGCATCCAGGACTGTGACAAGAGAAGGCAGTATGTGTGGACATTGCGTTGACCCTTCACCCGGGCACTTGTATTTTGGACGTGTGGACATTGCGTTGACCCTTCACCCGGGCACTTGTATTTTGGACGTGCCACAGATTCCCTTGTGGCTGCAGGGAAGGGAGAGGCATCTGTCTGGTCCTCCGGCAGATCATCTGAGGATGGAGAGGTGGGACAGGGCCCCTGGGAAGGTCGCCTGCTGGCTTCTGTTTGCCTCAGGCCCCGCACATTCTGCTGCTTGTCAGATCCTGGGGCCTGCTCCTTTCACCAGTCCGTTTGTCCACCTTGTCCTAGCTCCGTGCATGCTGCAGAGGTCTGTGCCTCCTCAGAGCTCAGCCTGGGATGTCCAATTCAGCAGGGCTGGGTAGTCACATCCAAGGAGGACAGCCCAGAGCACCCTGAGGCTGAGGGTCTGGGGGACGATTTTGGAATTCTAGATAAAGATTGGATGGGACTGTGGTGAGTGAGGTCAGGGTCCACGGAAGCACACTAGGGCCTGAGCAGCCCACGGTGGCCCCCTGCTGTAGAGACTGCTCTGTGCAGGGGAATTGCCTCCTGGTGGGGTGAGAGGCTCCTGCACCTCTAGGCTTTGGTATGGGTGGCTGTGCGCTGAGCTTATTGCTGCGCTCTTGAGGACTGAGCCCTAGGGCTACCCCTCCACCTGCTCTGAGACTCCATTTTCCCTGCATGTAAACGGGGACAGTGACAGCCTTGCAGGTTGATGGGAAGGAATGCGTGTAGAGGGCCTGGTGGGTGTTTAACCTTCCTTTGGCCTCTGGGGATGACTCCTACTAACTACTGTGTTTGTGAAAATGCTTTGTGATTCAAACATTAGGTGGCAAAATTGTTATTGTTTGAGAAGCCCAAGCTAAAGGCTTCTGAAGGTTCGAGTGGGCAGAAGGGAGCCTGGGAGGGATGGCGTGAGCGTGGGCTGTGCTGCAGGCTGCTCTGTAGACGCTGTCTGCTTGGAGTGTGTGGTCACTGGACCTGGGCATCTTTGCCCCTGTCCTCTGGAATTTAGAGACCAGGAACAGGGACTCTCTGCAAGGTGGATGGACATGATGGCATGGTTCTGGAGTTGACCTGCTGGGGTTTCAGCCTCATTCTGGTTCTCAGCAGCTGGGGCACTCTGGGCCAGCCACGGGGTTTAATTTACTCATTCAACAGATAGCCGCTGTCTACTGAAATCCGAATTGTGGCGATGAATAGGGCCACGCAGGAGGAAAAGCTGTCCTTCTGTCCCGGAGTTTGAATTCAGCAGGGGAGGTAGAGATGAACGACACAATCTGAGAATAAACACATAATTGCAAGCTGGGATAAGTGCTTGGGAGGACAGTGTGCTTCCCAGAACACCATTTTCTTGCCCATAAAGTGGGGATGATGATAGGAGCCACTCCAAAGGGTGGCTTGAGGATGAAATGTGGTGTCGTCCTGAGGACCATTGCACCGGGCCTGACAGACAGCAAATACCCAATAAATGGCCTCACTGTGATTGTTATTAAGGAGACACAGACTGCAGGGACAAGAAGGGAGCTTGGGTGCAACTCAGGCTGGATCCCAGCATGGCTGTCCTGTGTCCTTAGCAGGCAGCCACTGGGGACCCCGCAGCACACGGGGCAGGCTGCCCTTCCTTGATGCCTCTTCTCCAGGCTGTGCGCTGGCTGTCAGTGGCCCAGGCCACCGAGGCTGTCAGCAGGGGCGGCCATGCTCTTTTGGGGCCCAAACAGGGGCGGTGGGGACAGGCAGCTCCT